TGTGTGTGTGTGTGTGTGTGTGTGTGTGTGTGTGTGTGTGTGTGTGTCAGTGCAGTTAGTACTAGAATGGGGCAGAAATAGAGAACATAGCTCATCCTTTGTGACAGAATAAGCAATGAATGAAGAGTAAGGATAGCCAAGAAGAGACACATTTTCCTGTCGGATCTTCTTGTTATCAATTTCAATCCTAGATTTTGTTTTAAGGTTATTTTGCGACTTAAAATCAGCAACTTTCAAATAAACACAGGAATTAAAATAATGATCAGCACTTCCCTAAAGCCATATTATTCAAACATATTTGCAGTCTATCTGCCTGATATTGTCATATTGTATCTCCATGTTGTCATTTTACTGTTCTGTGTGAACATCTAATGCATGTCCCATCTCTGTTGCTCTCTCTGATGATTCTTCCTTTTATTTGTTAAAGAGTTTTTTGGGGAGTTTTTCCTTATCTGAACTGTTGGATCGCATGCTGTACAGATCGTAAAGCCCTTTGAGGCTGATGATCTCGATAAGGAGATATGACGGCTCTTTGTCAAGCGACTGCATTGCAGATAGAGACGAGAGCATTTGTTGTGGAATGCTGCTCGTAACTCATTCTTGTTTCTGTAGATCAAAGACCGTTCTAACAAAGATCATTTTTGAAAATTACATAAGAGCATCAAAACAAACTAAGGATCAGATGTTTCTCTAAAACTTTTCTTTAAATAGCCTGAAAGATAAAGCAAATGTACTCATAAATAGTCTGTATCTGCTTGTACCATCAATTAATTGAAGCTACTGTGTATCACATTCCTAATGAGTTAAATATTCAAGCCTAAGATGACATTCCAAATAGCTACACCACTACATCACATAGAAAGAAAACTCTATTTTTTGTGCCTTATTTTATACATTTGTGTTCAAGTAGTGATATTAAAACAGGCAACAAAGTGATCTACGGGTTGAGAGATGAATCTGAAAGTTAACTGCTGTGTTCAGAGCACAGGCGGCACAAAAGTGGCCTGGTATTGTCTTCAGACTGGGAATGTACATCTAGTTGTTTTGGTCTCTATATGTGACAAGTCTGCCTCATTTGATTTGTGTGAAACGGAGACAGTGGACCTGGGTGGCAGTGTGTGTGTGTGTATGTGTGTGTCTTTCAGAGTCAAGGGAGTGTGACAGAGGTCCATCCTTCACCCTGTGTCCCTGTCTCCAGACGCTTGTACACACAGACGACCACGTTATCCGCCTTACACACAAATCAAATGAAGCTGAGCGCACACACATACATACACACACACCCACACACACACACACACACACACACACACACACACACACACACACAACTACACGCACACACAGCGGCACACCCCTGTCACCTCCACAAAAGCCCCGCGGTTTGCCTTGTTCAACCAAGCAAGACAAATCCCGCTTTGGGACAAACCGGCGTGTCCACGAAAGAAAGAGAGAAGAAGGGATGAAGAGGAGAAGAAAAACTGTCTTCCTCTCACTCGCTCTCCTCCTTTTCATCTCTCTCTTCTCCTCTCTTCCGTTTCGATGGACAGACGACAATGAAAACAAGGGATCAAACAGGAGAGAGGAGGAAAAGTCACTCAAAAGAGTGAGTGTGTGTGTGTGTTACAGAAAGGCTGAGGGACTGTGTGTGTGCGTGTTAATACAAGGCTGTAGCAATAGATCTTTCTCTCTTATACACTCTACTATAGCCCCAATGGGACCCTCAGCAGAAACACAACCTCTCCAGACCCTCACCTTTGACCCCTGATACACACTCTCACACAAAACCAGGCTCAATGTCTCTCACACAAATCAAATGGAGCTGAGACGACATGCATGCGCATACACACACACACACACACACACACACACACACACACACACACACACAGCGTCTTTGTCTCGCAAACAGCTTAAACAAAGCTCCTCTAACTGAAGATAAAGACATTCTCCTGATCCAGCGTATACCAGAACTGGCAAATGGACCTTTTACGAGGAAGGTGTGCATGTGTGTGTCGGCGTGCGTGTGCGTGTAGCCTACTTTAAGGTGAAAGGTCCCCCCCCCCACCTGAAAGAAGTTCCAAACACCTCTAGCTCCGATATCAGCTCTGGAGCTTCTAATAGTTGCTGTATGGCAACTAGAGAGGGCCAAAAAACTCAGAAACTAGAACATGCTAGTCTGACAAAACATACCACATCCATTTATCCATCCAGTACTTTCGTTCTTGTTTTCTTGCACATTTGTTTTTGTTTCACTTCTGAACTCTTAATACAATCAAGCATGTTGTTGTCCATTGTGTTGCTGCATTTATATGTGTGTATTGTGACCTTGTGTGTGTGTGTGTTTCTTCACTGGAATGTGCATTGACCTGGCGACCTAGCCAGACTCCAAGGGCGTTAGCAGTTATACCATTTGGACCCTCCCAATAAATAACACTCAGAAATACTGCCAGGTCAGGCCACCTCGACTCACACACACATTCCTTGGATACATTCAGATATAGGATGGGGTTAAGAATTGAGGACACACACACTTCTTCGCTAAAGCTTCATCTGCAGAACTCCAGAAAATATCAATTGTATTTTTTAAGACAAACACTAAATGCACAGGAGTGTCGTGTCCCTCTGTACCTGTCTCCCTGCTTCATTGTTCTGCAGGTTCATCAGTGTTCGGGCGTGCTCAGTAGAACCCCGTGGGTAGTTCTTCTCTCTCTCCCTGGCGTCCACGAACTCCCGGGCAAAGCGATAGCCGTAATGCACGTTGTCGCCGCAGCCACCCCACAGCCAATCGCGCGGCAGGTCGCGGGGTCGAGCGGCACGGCTGCAGCCGCAGGTGGAGAGCTCGCCCTCGCGGCATGCCCGGCTGATGGCGTTGACCACCCCAGCTGCGCTGATGGCGTAAGTGAAGGCTGTTTCCCTGGAGCCTGAGAGGAGAGGAAAATAAACATTTAAATTATAGATATTTATAACTTGTAAACTTGAGTTAGTAGGTAGAGGAACACTGTGCTCTGGGTTTTTTTTCCTTGGGTTTAGGGGAATGTGTGTGTTCACTGACAGGAAACATGGGTAACTGTTCAGGTTAACCCCCCACCACACAAACAGCCCCACACCCACTTCACCTAACAATAGACAATAGATGTGATTTTAAGTCTGACGCTGGTCAAACTTTAAACACCAGATCCATGAAATATATGCAGCAGCTAATTAGGTAAATCCTTGTTCCCATGTACTTAGCCTGTGGGTTTACCTGTCCTAGTTCTGGGCTAGTCAACCCTAATGTTAAACCTCTTTTTCGGAAACAAATGTTCCTGTTACTCTGTTGACAGTTTGTTCTTTGGATTATTCATAGCGCGCATTTTGCAGTAAAGACATGCTGCGGATAATTGTAATTCAGCGAGCGCCACCAATAAAAACATCTCTGTTGTATCAGGGTGAACTGACCCTTTAAGGGGAGCTCCAGGCCAGAAACTAATTCAGATTCGCTGCACTGCGAAGACCTATGTACAGGTAAATGGCCAATCTCCCGTACTTACACGCACACTTATAATGTTAATGTTGAACAACAGAGAAGGATTCTGAATAAATCTATTCAGTTTCAAATAAACAACCAGACTGCTGTTAGTCTTTGTAGTTGCCTTGATGCACACACACAAGTCCATCAGAAGGACTTCTGTTCACTCTAGACCAACACCGTCTAACACTGAGGAATACACAACCTGCATGTCTATTCACTGCATTAATACACAAACCGCTGAGGAGGAAACGAGGACAAAGGCGATGGCGAAGGTAGGAGGTGAAGTGCTCTGAAACTGAACATTTACATGTGAACAGCCTCGTGGTATTTCTGGTTGAGACTGCATTTACAAAGACCACAGTGAGGTCGTATAATACAAGGTGACATTTCTCCCTTCAAATGACATCACAGAGAACTCACAACTAAATGCCCTTATTGCCCTCCACCGTGACTCGCTAATACATGATCACGATTATTGGTTTTCACTATGAACTGTATATAGTGTCATATGTTTGGCCTGTATTGCATTTTTAATGCTTTAATATTGCTGTAATTGCACCTTATTACCAGTGTGTGGTGGTTTTGATCATTCTTCAAGTTTTTTTTTTGCTTCATATAATAGGCTTTTTATTTATTTTCTATGTTTTGGGTGCTTCTTTTAAACAGTCATGATCGTTTGTGATTTTATTGTTATATTATTATGCTTAGGTTAGGGTTAATACTTGAACTGGGTACTTTGCAGCCTATAGTACCGCTCCACAATGCGTTACAGGACGCCCCCCCCCCCAGCCTGGAATCAACACCGGGCAGACAGACAGGCAGGTATGCATGCGGAGCCGAGGCGTGTGAGCTATTCATTCAAGGTTTTAGGAGCTCTCTCCCCAGTCAGGATGCTGATGCACATATTATGCAGCAGGATAATGAGACAGGGAACGAGAGAGAGGGAGGCCGAGAGGTTTATGAGACTGCGGAGCCCAGACTTCAAATAGCAGGTCCGGATCTGCCGGCTCGGTGTCAGCTCATCAGCGCATTTCAAAAGGGGAGCTGCGAGACAATGGATCGACTAACACCTCCATATAAACCTGGAGATAGACTGACTGTCAATAGAGAGACGGGCAGAGAGGGACGGAGACAGAGAAAGAGCAGCAAACACCTCGTCTGACTGCCCGCAGCGGATTTGACACTTACTTGTTGATGAGAGGTTTCCCACATCGCCTGCTGGGAATTAGACGCACATGAAACTGATCCAGGATCTGAGCTACACGTGGAGATTTACTAAAACTGCTGCATGGAGATTGCAAATCTTTTTGTTGTTCTAGTTTTCATGCGTCTTGATAACTGCCTTGCGCAAAAGTTCCGAGTCGTCGCTTTTACTCGACTGAGGAGGTTATCAGTTTCATTGCGCATGCGTAAAGTGGGAACGACAAGTGGTTTAAACTGTCGCGCAAAAAAAAATGCCTGTGCTTTTTTTTACAATCACAGGATCTCCACATAATACAAAATCAATATCTCAAATGTTATTAGTATTACAATTAATAGGCCTTAACACTATTTTAGTTCAACAAAATAGCGGAATCAACTGTAATCCTATAGACTAATGGATGTTATGAAAAACTCCACATACTCACAGGAATTAGGAACAATCCGACAGTAAAAAAGAGATTTAAAAACTAAATATTCCCTTCAAAAAGAATAGCTTACTTTAAATTCTGTAGTGACTATACTACAACGTGAACGTTAATGTGGTCACTGAATATTGTAATGATGGGCCACTAAGATAAAACAAATGAAACAAACATGATAAAGTTTGCAAACAAAGACATCATAAATCAGTATTAGAGGAATATTATGACAATTGTCCCTCACTCTTAGACTGTATGACCGGTCTAGTCATTGGAGTAGTGTCTCTACCAACCCTACTTACTCTGCTGGATTCAAACTCATGTTCCCATCTAAACAATAACATACAGTGAACAGTGTATTATTATTCCAGTCTGTTAAATGACCCATGTGATGACCATGTCACCTATAACTTTTTTGTCATTGCTTATTTTATATGTCAAAATAGCCAACAACACAGTACAGCTTTTGACATGTCTGTGTGTAACTTCTGGGCTTTTGCATGCTTTACAAAATCACCATTGGAGGCAAACAATAAAAAAAAACTGAATTAAAACCTGCCATCACTCTCAAATTGATTGACAGGTCTTTTAAGAGGGGAGAAAGACAATAACAGCAGCCTCTGCTAACTCTGCTTCTGATTCCATCAAACAATAAACTCACCAATCTGCATGACCCGTCCAAACACGGATGTGTTGTCCACAGTGCTGCAGTTCCACCTCCTCTGTCTGAACTGGTACTGGCACTCCTTGATGCCCGTCTTGGCTCCGTCTCCGATGTAGACCATGTGGTCCTGGTACAGCTGGCACAGCTTCCTCTGGCCCTGCAGACAGCACAGCATCATAGGAGAGATTAGCAGAGATTAGCACATTAATGGTTTAACATGTTCGTGGTCCCTGTGGGACTATTCAACTATATTTGACTATTTCCTCAGAGTCAGGGTGCAGAGGAGGAATATTCGGCGTTATTCTTCTTGTTGATGCTGATGTTGTAGAGCCACACCATGCACAACTGAGCTCTAAATCCTTCAGAATCTATTCATCTCCGAATTCAAGTTGTGACAGCTGTTAGAGGAGTTTTTACAACATTTTAAATGTATTAAAAAGAGGTCTAAAACAGGCAGACAGGAACTTACTTGAGATAGACCAGACAGCTGACTGCAGAGAGGCTGTGCTCCAATGATGTACATCTCTGGCCGCTGGATCGGGGTCAGAGCTAGTGACCTGAGAGACAGACACCATATTAAGTCTAAATTTGAACCAGTAAACTCAATCAGTTACGATCAAAGATAAGTGCTAGAGACAGGATCCCTGCGATAAACGACTCCCTCTCTCTCTCTCTCTCTGAGAGGAGGTTGGCGCTGTAGAGGACAAAGTTCAGACACGTTTATTAGTACAACTGGCCTGTAAAGTGTAGATGGACTCTTCTGGTGTTCATCTCTGCAACCGCTCTGCTTGTGTTTCCTTTCCTGCCCTCTTCACACAAACAATTGTACCCGTATCATACAATTTGAATCACTTTTGCTTTGAAAAACTGAGTTCCCACACACAGACTGTGGTCACCAAAAAGGCTTTCTAAAGAAAGGGAAATCAAATTGTGTGAAGGTTGTCCCTATCTTAAGAGCTAAGATCAGTTCATGTATCATAATAAATGCATGTATGAAACTATGGCATGATTTGGGCAACACGGGTGCTGTCTTTAGAATGCATTTGGTTGACTAAATGGAAACTATGAACTATCTATTCTGGTTCTACATAAACTGACAGGAAGGTGAACTCCACTGACCTGCACACATCCTCCACTACATTATCACAAAGCCAACTGAACGGCATTGTTGCATATAGCTGTCTTGTAAGGCAAGAACAAGTGTGGCTAATTGACGGTGCTATAGGCACAGCAGCAGGCCGCCATGCAGTGCCATTTGGGGCTCAGCCAGGGTAAATATTGTGACAGAGCCCTCACATTTGTTCCATTCACTGTCAGGGCTCAACCCAAGACTGGGACATCACCCCCAAAACACACACACACACACACACACACACATACACATACAGAGACACAGAAGAGGCAACACAAACTCTATAGTTCACATTTTTCCATTTGCCATATTATCAATAGCATATAAGCAAAAATATATATTTTTTTTTGAACACGTTTTAAGGCTTTTGTCAATCGTTCAGATACAAATGAAGGGCTACAACATCCAACAACAACTTAAAGAAAAAAAAATGTGACAAAGTTGCTCTCCTATTGTTACCACTAAATGGAGGCCATATTTAATCTACTTTTTATGAGCCACAACACCACAAAAAAAAGACCAAAAAAAAAGAAAACAATCAATGCACTACCAGTGGTCATTACTCACCACCATGAGTTGGCATCCACCACCAGCAGTTGGGAGCTGCATGCGAGGAAGGCGGCTGCCAGCAGCAGATGTCGAACGGCACCGGTTCGCTTTCTCCGGACAGGCCTGTTGTCCATGGTCCGCAGCGTCACCGCCACACAGCCGGTGCTGGGGAAAGTGCTCTGCTGTTGAGACATGGGCATAAAATCAAGAGGCGCCCTGCTCGGCCCCGCTGGGTCTGGACGCAAGCCCTGTAGTGCTGGCGATACAGTGAGCTCGAGTCCAACTCGAGTGTATCTTGTGTATTGTCTATTTTCTTGTGAACCACTTGTCCTTCCAGTCTCTAGGATTTAAAACTATAAAACATCACTGACATTCAAAATAAGATGAAAAAAGACAAGAGAAAAAACGGCCAGAGGTAATTATCCAAAAGGTCAGAAGTTGCTTGTTAAAAAAAACGTGAATCCAGTTACTGCTTGAAAACTCCAGTTCAAAGTCGTGCGTAAAATGGTTTGGTTGGGTTTTACGCAAAGTGCAAGCGGATTTCTCCCTCCAAAAAGACAAAATAAAGCAAAGCTGCAATGGGAAAAGTGGGATCCCGTTGTTGTTTTGAGAAAAGATTAACAAGGAGATTAAAACGCTAATTGAGCAGCAAAGCGACTGTTCCGTCCCTTCCTATCCCCTCACGACCACACCACATCTCTCTCTTTCTCTCTACACTTTTCTTCTCACCCCCACTTCACCTCAGAAACCCTCCTGCCCTCTCCCTCCCTCGCCATACATTGCGCGCGCATGGGGCGTACGGTTGCATGTGCGTGCGCACAGTTAAACCAAATGGGTATTCGACATAGTCAACCGTGAATTGAATGGCGAGCCAAGACTGGAAGCACCTGTGATGTTGCGTTCAAAGGTTTTGAATATAAAACTCAGGTGTGTTCTTTGGGCAATCACTCCCTGAGCAACTAAACAAAAGAGCTTACACTGCAGCTGATACGTGTTTCCAAACAAGGCCTTCTTCATATGACCAGTCATCAGATACTTTTCCATCCAGGGATCCTCCATTACTTCCGTATAATAAAACTTAAAAATGAAATTTGTGTATCACAATGTTTATGCATATGGTCACTAAAGTGGGTACAATACGGTCAGGGCAGTGTTTTAAAGTAGAGCGATGGGGGTTGAACGTTTTGCAAAACCCCCATCGACCTCAAAAGAGTTCACGTGCATCAAATTCCTTTTATTAGCTGAAGTGGATAATTTGTTTGAATAAAAGGTGAGTGCCTCAAAATCGTCTAATCCCCTCTTTGGTCAGCGACAATAAAGCCCCCCCACACACACTCACATTTCCATACACACACACACACACACACACACACACACGCAGACGGCCAGGAGTCCTGAAAAGTCCTGGAGTAAAGAAAAGGCGTGTTGAAGCGAGCTCTCCTCAATTCATATCCCGGTCAAAGACAAACTGGGCGGCCAACCTGTACAGGAACAGGCTCTTTGATCTGACTCAGTGCTTCTTAAAAGAGTGCGTCCATATGCAACCAACGGTGGACGCAGGGTGGATTACACGGAACGCCCCCCCCCCCCCAGAAAAGCAAAAGGTCCCCATGGAGTTCACCAACTTCACAAATAACTGTAATCAATTTAGAGTACTTTTAGGAATATTGCTCCTGAAAATAATGTTTACGTTGTTCAATTTGATAAACACTTATAGAAATGAGAGAATAATCATCCAATTTGGATTTCAATGATTCATGTTTTGCGTGCGTAAATACGTTGAAAGTAATATATATATATATATATATATATATATATAATGTCTGTTTTAACAACCTGCTGCTTAACACTTGTGGTAAATTAGCACAGTGGACAGTTTTACCATTGACACTATGTGGGTTTATTATATTATACCGATATACTTCTTGACTTTTTTAAAATCTTCTCAACAATATTCCTGTAAAGTGTGTTATTTTGGGCTTCATTGGATTTATGTGGGCATTTCTCATTTGTGGCGACTGAGCAGCAGCAGAGAATCGGATGTCACTCGCCTCTGCATGATAATAGACCCGCAGAGACCGCACACCTTTCATCTCCTGGGGGATTTAAACTTCCCCCCACGCACACATGCGCACATGCACACTTGCACACACACACGCACACGCACACACAGCTCTGCTAAGTGATCTAACTGGCTGCCGATACATCTGATTGATATTCTGCAGTGGGCGGGTATAGGGTCAAAGTCGGGTTTAGCGGGTGAATAAACAGAGAAACAATGAGATACACTTTGGGAAACATTATAATATGTAACAACGCTAAAACTGGTCCAACCGATCACTCAGTAAATAACGGCGGCTAAACTGCTTCTTTCGTCTTGTCCTGCAGCCGAGAAGGCGATCCACGTTGTACATCACTCTATTATATGCTGAGGAGCTTAATATGACAACAGCGCTCTCATCCGGTTAAACGTAGACATTTATCATCTCCCAACATAAACCCCCAGTAGCACTTGCTTTTTCAAGTGACAATACAAGGATCCACTTATTGGATTATTAATTGGAGTTTTTACCTAAAGTATCCTTTTATGGCTTATTATACTGTTGTTGTAGTAAATAGTCTGCACCTGCAGCATGTACGCAGTGCAATGATGGTGAAGCAGTTAGTATTGCTGGTACAATGTGGAGGTACTTGTACTTTGCTTGAGTATTTCCATCCACAAAACTGTTAAAGACTGAACAAACGTTTTGGACCGGCCTCTTAAAAATAAGTTGTGAGACCTGCATGTCGTTCCAGATGTCAATGAGCTGTCAGCAGCTCCATCAAATAGAGAATGCCCCTCTAGACTTCTCAGATGGTTTCACTAAATAACTGTTTGAGAAATGAATAAGAAGAAAGAATCACAGTTTGTGTAGCAGAAGTTGTTATTTTCCTCTTTTCTGCCCCATTAATCATCTTATTTGTGACCATTTGAAACATTCTGCACAATGAAAGAATGGGGCACAGCACTGACTCCTGACAGTGACGGACTCATCAGCAGTCTGTAACTGACACCACAGCACCCCCTAGTGTTCCTCTACCACACAGTCTTTGTTCTACATTATAGGTGTTGAGAAGAATTGCAGGAGTATGTGGAAACACACCTGGCAATAAAACTGATCCTGACTTAAAAACAGTTGATGAATTTAACATCTGTATTTTGGTTGAAACATCTGAGAGACAAACTGAAATAATCAGGTTTCTCCTCCTGAGAACTCAGCTAATTAAAACATGCTCATTGTCTCTGCAGGCCAGCGGCTTATTCTGGGACATGACCCAGAGATTCAGAAATGCTGCACTGGAAAAGCCACACTTTGCTAGTGGCTGTTTTTTACTGGTAACTTGTGATGTGCCCGTTGAAACACAAGGAGGAGCAGTTCAGCTACAGTCCAGCCAGCAGCCAAAGAAAAGGGGGTGAACTGAGGCAGGGAGGGAGTGAGGGCATAGAGACAAAACTTGGACCTAGTGAGATAAAGACAGAATGAGGCAGGAGGGAGAACAGAGAGGGTGAAAGAGAGAGGGAGTGTCCAAGTAATGGATACACACATACACAGAGAGAGAGAGAGAGAGAGAGAGAGAGAGAGAGAGAGAGAGAGAGA